TTTGTTATATAGAATTAGTTTCATTAGTTTTCAGGTTGTGCAAAAGGCCACTTCTAGTCACTTTGTTATATAGAATTAGTTTCATTAGTTTTCAGGTTGTGCAAAAGGCCACTTCTAGTCACTTTGTTATATAGAATTAGTTTCATTAGTTTTCAGGTTGTGCAAAAGGCCACTTCTAGTCACTTTGTTATATAGGAATTAGTTTCATTAGTTTTCAGGTTGTGCAAAATGCTACTTCTAGTCACTTTGTTATATAGGATTGGTTTCATTAGTTTTCAGGTTGTGCAAAAGGCTTTGTTATATGGAATTGGTTTCATTAGTTTTCAGGTTGTGCAAAAGGCCACTTCTAGTCCGTTTGTTAAATAGAATTAATTTCATTAGTTTTCACGTTAGTTATTAAACCTCATCTATAGAATTAGTTTATTTTTCGTTAGGACTAACATAAAAAGAGAAACTAGTGGCCAGTTATAAGTAGAAGAAATAGTATTACAAAGAAATCGATCAAAAACAAAACTGATAAAGCCCAAATCGAGAAATTATATAACCCAAGGTTGATCTTCATAGGTTGAATCGGGTTGAGTGGAGATTAAAAACCTTTAACGCGTGTCAGTAGTATCAATTTTCTCTAGTGATTTAACCCGTTTGTCAGCTTGACATGAAGAGGAAACGCAGGGCCATGAAATCCTTTTACGGAGTGCTGACGCCTGAGTACTTAGTTGATAAGTGTGTCAAGAGAAGAGAGCCTCTCTCACACACTTAATCGGTGTGGTACCATTTCGTAGTTTTGTATATTCTCGTTTGGAGCTACGCGCATTAACAAAATACATGTTTGGAGTACCGTAATAAAAGTACTGACGACTTTAAAAAACATCCCATGCGGATATGAATAATGCCATCAACGTGAATTTATAAATATGTATTTTGTTGACGTAAGTAAAAACTATAGTGTTTTTTTTTAGCACAACAGAGCGGTCGTTAGCGCTGGGGATGGGGGCGGATCCCCCTGAAACGTCGTTGCCCCCCGCCCCCAACAAAAAACAACAACTAATATCGCCCATTAATCAAATTTTAGATTATCAACACGTGTCTCATTGCCCCATCCATCCCAGTTAATAAAAGCTGAGGCTGAGACCGACGTAGAAGAGTAACATAAAATACGTGTATCGTGAAAACAGTAATCCAGAAAAAATACTTTATGATATACTGTAAAAAAAAGGATACGACATAACAATGAACTTTAACCTTTTTTTCAGTTTCCCCGCTACAGAAGTTGTAAGCTTAATGTTAGGAGTTTTAAAGTAACCATGGCAACAGTCAGTACAAAAAACTTAAAACTCGACATCCCTATGTAAACGTTTTGTTTTGTTTTTTAATTTCGCGCAAAGCTACACGAGGGCTATCTGCGCTAGCCGTCCCTAATT